ATCTATAAAAAAGCCCAGTACTCTCATCGTGTCGACTCTGGGTACATTTACCTCGTTTTCGGTCATTATATGTATGTCACTTTCGTATAGTGGCTTCCATCCCTTAGGTCTCCCCGCTTTCTCTTTTCTGTAAAGTAACAACTCCGATTTCTGTGGGGGAGCACATGAGACCAGTGAGCCTCAAGTATTCTCCCACTGTCTGCACCGCTTCTGTGAGTGCATCTTGTACCTGTCCTTCACTACCACCAGCACACCATATGGTAAGGCCATCAGCATAGATGGTGTGGTGAATGTTGCTAATATTGCTCAGTTTCCTGGACAGGATCACGTACAGGTTGAAGAGGACGGGAGAGATCACCGAGCCTAAGGGTTCCACGAACACCGAGTTGAACCACGTCTTACTCGGTGTCTGCTACCCTTAACTTCGCTGTACGTGCTCCTAAGAAAGATTTTATGTAATTATACATTTTCGATCCAAGTCCAATTTCCTCTATTGTTTGAAGGATATATTTGTGCCTAATGTTGTTGAATGCTTTCTCCATGTCTTGTCCGAGGATGGCTTTGGTATCTCTAGAGTATCCGTCTAGAATGTGGTGTTTAATCAGCTTCATAGCATCCTGAGTAAATAGTGAGGATCTGAAGCCTAACTTATTGTAGATGTATATTTTGTTGTCCTCCAAGAAATCCTTAAGCCTGTTGGTGATTGTATGCTCGGCAACTTTTCCAACACATGATGTTAGCAATATTAGTCGCAAGTTCTCCAGACATGGAGGTTTTCCCGGTTTCGGTGTTGTATGACTTGAGAAAGTTTCCATTGATCTGGAACCTCACCAGAATTCCATGCTTCTTTAATGAAATCAGTCGGTGATTCATTAGAGTGCTCGTCCAGATTCCTGAGTGACTTGTTGGTCACGCCACCTGGGCTAGGAGCAGACTTTCTGTGTAACTCACTCAACACTCTTCGGATTTCAGATAAAGTGAAGGGTCGATCCAGCTCCAGCTGAAGGGCTCCCCGGTGTTCCGATCGTGAAAATAGTTCTGGGTCCTCAGCGACTGGTAGGTATTTGTCTATGAGTTGTTTAGTAACTGTTTCAATGTCTTGATTTTTAAGGACTGCGTGTGTGGCCCGGGCAAGACAGTGTCTCTGGTTCGACCTGGTGCCTTGCTCGTCTAGGAGGCCCTTATTGAGTTTCCATGCTTTGCCGTTCCTGATCTGCCCATCCATCATTTCACAAAATTCATCCCACTGCTGCTTGCTTAGGTAGGTGCAGTGCAGTTCGATTTGTTTATTCAGTTCTGCTATTTTCTTCCTTAGTTTACAATTGAGTCTTTGAGTCCACCATTTTTCAATAATGAGCTGCTTTGCTTCAATTAAGTGGGCTAGTTTAGAATACAAGGCCTCCCCGTTAGCGTCAGTGAGAAGACTTCTGGTGGCTGATTTGATATCAATCCCGATGGATTCGCACCGCTCTTTGAGGCTTGGTTTGGCAGCATTTGGTTCGCTTTGCGTTCTAATTCTGCGAAAAACATCCCAATCAACAACCTCAAATTCTCGAGTGCGGCCTTTCTCAACCTCCAGCTTAACCTCGAGAACATAGTGATCACTACCGAAGTTATGACCGGTATTTGTCTATATGGGATGCTCTACGTTCTTGACAAAGGTTAGGTCGGGTGTGGTGTCTCTGCAGACAGAATTGCCGATTATTGTGGGATACCCTTTATACGTAATCCAGACCAGGTCTTGCTCGTCCGCGTGATGCCATATATTCCTGCCTTTGGGGTTTGTCACAGTATATCTGCAGAGTTCATGAGCAGCGTTAAAGTTCCTAATATGATTAGGGGCCTAGCTTTCGGTAGTTTAGTAGCTTTCTCGAAAGTTATCTTGTACTCTTGCTTGTAGTGCTTCGGATTACTGTAAATGATGAGGACAAATAAGCTGTTATGCTTTTTTTATTTTTGCATGAGACCGGCACTAATACCTCCACCATGAGATACTCTAAGTTCTTGTCCCGAATGCCCAGATTGTGAGAGGTGTGTGTCAACTGCTTATTTACAAACACATATAAGCCTCTACCATAGGTTTGGCACTCTATAGCGCTATACCCAGTGAGCGTGACGTATCCGTACCCAGTATCTTGAAGTGACGTTATATCCGGCTTAGATTGTAGTGATCTGAGATATTGCTGGAGTGTGGCACGTTTGTTCTTGTACCTCACGCAATTCCAATGCCACACTCGAAATTCTCTTTTAGCGGGGGCCATATATGAATTCGTATCCCCTGCCTTGGAAATCATGGGGGCTGTGAGGAACGATAGTTCAGTCTGCGCTCTGTCGTTGCCGGACATACTCATCATTTCAAGAGTTTTCACTCTTTCGCTAAATGCCTTAAGCCCTTCCCTAGGATCATTTGATGTACTCTGCATTTGTCCCACACTCATAATCAACTGTGATATGCTGTCCATGATCATTCTCAATTTACCTGTAAATGAGGCTAGCGTTTGTTTCATTTCCTCAATGTGCGTTTTAGTATTCTTGAGCTTACTTTCGACGGCTCTGCGCTTGGCCGACATGGCCCCATCACCCACAGGCGCGGGAGCTGGCGTTTCCATTGGCGTGTTTTTGTTCTCGGCCTGCTTGAGTTCACTTAAAGGTTTTTAATTGCTGCTAATTTTGTACCCGTATTTTTGTTCATTTCCCTTAGTTATTCATTTTATTTCTTGAGCTTCTCTATTTCCCTACCTTGCTCTGGGGTGGGTCGCAAAGCATGACACTTACCGGTTCGGTTCGCGCACCATCGGCCTAAGCAAGTCGTTTGTTGTCGGGAGATTGTCCTGTGGTAGTTGGCGTCTTGTGCGTCATTGCCAATCCCTTGACTTTGTCGACCCACGGGGAACCAATGCTTACTTCGGATTCCGGGTTGATCAATGGACTCCGATTCCCAGACCTTACCACGGATTTGGACCTGGATGCGCTCCTTCTTCTGGATCTGGATACACTCCTTCCTCTGGATAGGGAGGGATTTCGAGACCTGGATCCGCCGCAAGATGCTGCTGTTGGCTTCGAGTCGTCCATTGGAGCTGATGCCGTGGAGTGCAGCTCGGATGAGTGCAGGTTCAGTGTATTGTCGACTTGTTCCTTTTCAGCATTGGTTGCCATTGCTCTTTCACTTCTTCTTCTGACAACGTATGGAATTGTGTAACGCTGTCTGCACGTCTTGTCCGCTGTGGGGTGTGGACCACCGCAAAGTTCACATCTGGGTTGACACCTGTGTTCTTTATTCACGTTTACTGCGCCACATCCTCTTCACATGGTCTCCTCCGGGGTGTGGCATACGTCAGCTCTGTGACCGAGCCAGCCACAAGCCTAACATATGTGGATCTTTTTCTCGTAGAGTGAACACTTCACCAGGATCGGACCATACCTGACGAAATCTGGAACCTTGTAACCGTCGAAGGCGATGATCACCATGCCGGTTTTCTTAATTTTTTTAGCCACGCTGCGCCAAGGGGTTTCTTGGGTTGACAATATTTCTCTCGAGCTCCGCCGTCCCGTCGGCGACGTCGATGTTTCTTATCACTCCATTGCACGTATCATCTGGTGCAGTCTCATAGGCGTTGATCTCATAATTGCAACCACCCAAGTTTATTGATCTTATTCTCACGTACCTCTCAGCATTTTCCCGCTCTGGTGTACTCGCTACCATTATGTTCTTTTGGCTGGCATTCGGGCAGATGATGTCTGACGCCGTCTGATCCAAGCCCAAACCTGCAGCTTCTATGATGGCTTTGCCTACCTTGGTGGAACCCATCTTGGTAATATTGAATCCACCACGTGGTCGTAGGATGATCTTGAAGTGATCCTTAGGCATATAGGGCATGCAGGACGCCGTGGTGACTCTGTTCTTGACCTGATTGCCGTTCTCAAATGTTCTAGACGCCACGTCCATGTTAGGCCCAGCTCCGGCAGAGTCCCCGCTAGCAGCGGATTTGGTCGACATTCGCTTGGAAACTGCTGCTTGCCACCCGTACTCTTCGGTACACTCATCGGGAGATATGCTCTCTCTGTCCATCATTACTTGCACGTCTAACGTGCGGCCACTCGGCCCTGGCAAACGCCACTTGGCGCGCGTCCGTGTGGCGTTGACCCGGCTCGGCGTAGGCCTACCTCAAGCATGGCGTCATCGGCACAAAAGTCTCGTAAAATGACGAAAAGTTCACCCACCAAACAAAATTGATGTAACCTTGTTCTCCTCGATGTTATGCGTCGTTCAATGTAATCCATTCAATGACACACATTGATTAACTGGCGGAACAGATGTTGAGAGCGGGAGCCGATATTTTCCTTCCTCGCTGTTCGGCGCCTGCGGCGTCTCCTCTCTTAGTCGGCGAGATAGGGATTTACTATTATCGGCGCGAACAGAATTGCATCCGCGTGAACAGTGCTATGGCTGCCAAACATAAAAATTCATCATGCAAGGTCTCACATATCAATGCCCAAACGCACTCAACTACCTCGGCGAAAACGCGTCTCACTTTCGTGTTTCACTGATTCCTACGATGGAGTATTCAGCCACGTTTTCTTTTGTAGTTGTTATTCTGTGCTAGTATTAAGCTATCACGTTATGCAACCGTGTCTGTGAGTGCTGCAAATTTTCATTGTGCACGACTAAATTAACCAATTCTCTATAGTTAGGACGTAGCCGGGGAGTGTGTGGATTTGGTATACTCGTAATTAGGCTGCACAGGTGTATTTCAGGTTAGCGAGGTTCTATGCTGAACAGCTTAGCCTTAACCTGTAGGCTTCCGTTTAGGACCGACATTGCGTGTGCTAAACAACTAGCATTTCGAAACAGTTTGCGACAGGCACTGAAAGAGAGATGTGACCCTCACACTGACGAGCCGGAAGCCGTTGAATTCCACACGAAGTTGTCAGCGGCAAACGGATACGCTGTTCCCGGCGTTTTACCGTCGCCCTGAGATCAGTCACGTCGGTCGTGAGCCGACCAGAACGCGGCGGATGTTACGCAAGTGACGAGGCACACGCCGCTGCCGGTTGTCAATGTGGTTCTTCTACTCTGGAGGAGGACACGCTTACACCGACGAGGCTGGTGGCTCTCTTGTTTCGAGGTAGCCCAAGTTTTTCTCTTACAGATCGTGCATGTGCTCATCCAGCACCTTAAGAAATCTCTGCTGGTTAAAAAGTATTTTACAGTGCGGGTCGTGTCTTAGTTTTGGCAGCATATGTGCATTTTTACGCTGCGTTCTTCACGGGAGATTCGTCTCAGAGATATGTCACTTTTGGTGCCATAAGCGTCATTTGCGTCGCGCGCACGCCCTTATCTGCGCATAGCATTTTTGCTGGCGTGGAAAGCCCCACGCACAGTTTCAAAAACAGGTGCAGCTCGCTAAATATCTTCAGAACATGCACTCGTCCTCGAATACCGCTGTAGTTGTAGAAGTTTTCTTTTGTACACGCTCACTCATCCTACTCGTCTGTTTAACATTTTGCTCGCCATATTTTGGGGGCTTCATTTCTCTACGAAAACGGTATATTATCCATCATTGCGATCTGATTGTGTCTTCATGCAGCAGCGCCACTGTTACCCTCGTAAGCAGGTTTAGATAGCTAGCTTGTAAGATCTTGCACTTGATTACCCCCGAGAAAAATCAGCCTGTATATGGATATGACGTGCGAGACAAGTCTCACTCTCAGCGGTGACCTAAGGGTTATGGCACTCAAGCCACAGGATGAAATCCCGGGCGCATTTTCATTAGAGAGCTTTCGAAGCTCGTGTACTTAAATTTAGGTGCACGTTACGAGCCCTGCTGGGCCGTGGAAATTTCTGGAGCCCTCCGTAACGGCATCTTTCATAATTATGTCATGGTTTTGTGGCATTGCGAAAGATATCGTAATCAGCTACTCGTCGAGGCGATGGCAGGATAATTAATACTTGGGCTACGCCACTGACTGCGCCAAGGAAACAGTTCAGAACACTCATTTCGACTTCCAAGGTTTTTGCTATCAACAGTGCGCCCTCTTTTAGAAGTACGTGGTGTCACAGTATGCCACTGCAACAACACTGTTAGAAAGCGGGGATGTCGAGAACCACACCGGCGGTGCGGACCGTTCGCATAAGGCCAAACCACATGCCTCAGTGTTTTCTGGCGTTGCGCCTCTCGGCGTCCTGATATAAACGCCACCAGAGGAAGTGCCCAACCACACGGAAAGTGCTGAGGCCAGCGCCAGCCCAGCGTCACTCATTGTGACCGAAAGGAATGAACGTGACACCTTGCAATGAAGTGTGCGTCAATGAACCAACTAGGAATATTCCTGATTATACGTTTTGTGTCTCGCATGCCAAATATTTAGGGAGAAAAGAAATCAGTGTCGTTGAATAATTACCTTTCCATTTTTTTGACATGTAACATCACCTATTCCGAATGATAAGAACCACTAACACGTAAAATATATACTCTGTGAGCTTAGAATTGAACCGCTTCCAACGTCTTCACCGGCACTGCAGATGTCTAAATCGTCGAAGCGGACATTTCATGCATCCTCACCAGTTACGTTGTCGCGCAGTGACGCCAGCGTACAAAACGCTGGTCAAAACGCACCGTGTAGTTCAGCCTTTTGAGATTTGGTTTATTTCACCATGATCGCCCTATTGCAAAAAAAAAAAAAAACAGCGTCCCTAGCGTGATGCCAGTACGTTTCTTAGCACTGGTACACGCTGGAGACACTGGCACACGCTGGCATTTACTGTAATTTCGCTGGGCGCACTGGGAAATAGCTGCGTCGCACTGGTAGGGGCGCTGGCTTAACCGCTGCTGCTCACTGTGAAGCACTGGGAGCACTAGAATTTTCACTGGAAAACGCCGGTGAATTCTGGAGCATGCACTGCTTCAACCAGCGCAGCGCGCACATAGCTCTATACGTGTGCCGTGGTTCGTTTCGCTGTCGTTGAATATAAAACGCTTGATTCGACGGCACAGAGAGATGCTACTTCAACAGATACCGAGCATACGTAATTTTTGCGGTGCACGTACGTACGTATCGCAGCAATTATAATGCACCTTTTTGGCATATACCCCCACGTATACCTTCCATATTCGCATCAGCCGTGTATTGCTGTAAGAACTCCAAGCTGCAGTGTTTATAAGCCTGGAGCTGGACGCCACTCCTAACAGAAAGAGAAAATTGTTTTTGTCGCCAAGTTGACGAAACGTAAATGAGCTCTCTCGATCGCTTCGCACAGTTTCCCTGCGGAGACGAGAAAAAAATCTGTCGTACGATTCCGCCACACCGCGTAAATGGATGTCTGGCCGTGCTTATACTTCTGCTTACTTCAGCTAACAGTTAGAAATGCTCCGAAGGTCAAATGCAGAAACTTCAACCATCCCAACTCACCGCGTCGAGAGCAGTCTTACCCAGTGCCGGGCCCAGCGAGCATTATCGTGCCGGCCGCGTCGGTGTATATGTTTTAAAGTGTGAGAATAATTGTTAATTGTAGTTTAGACATTCATGAACCTAAATCAACTATTTCGCCTTGTGTAGATGTTCGCACAAAGAGCCGTGAAGATCCATGCGTCGCGCTTTCAGCTACGCAGGCTGTCACCAAAATCTGCCGGCCACGTGCACTTAGCCGGTACTTCTCCGACTGATATGTAACAACACGCAATTTACAATAGGTAATTTGGTATGCCTTCGTGAACTGACTCCCTGGCACACGTTTTCAGCGGATTGTGTTAGCATTTATTAGGGCGTTTTTTTAATTGTTGTTATTGATATACATGCATATATCTGTACACAGGCACGCCCACTGTATACTGCCAGCGTAGGCTAGAAAAGCGACTGTCGCTCGGTATCGCCACTCCATAAATGCATGTCCGGCAATGATTAAGCTTCTACTTACTTGAGGTACATTTTAGGTAACAGTTAGAAATGCCGCAAAGCTCAAATGCAGAAACTTCAAGCATCGCAACTCAGCTGCTTCGAGAGCAGCCTTACCCAGTGCCCCGTCCCAGCGAGGCGCATCGTGCAGGCCGCGTCGGTGCACAAGCTGCTGGCGCTTTTTACTTTGATTAGGCTCAATTCTAAACTGTAAGAATGACTATAAAGTACGGTTTAGACATCCATGAGCCTAAATAGACCATTTATTCGCGTGTGCGATGCCCGCACAAGGAGCGACGATGATCAATGTGTTGTGCTTTCAGCAACGCAGGCTGTCACCGAAATGTAACTTAGAAGTGTGGCAGCTTGGGCTAGTTGGTATGGCATGACGATAGTTATAGCGCGAGAACAAAACGACGACACAGAGACAAGAAGGACCGAAAGCTCCCTTCTGAGCGCAGTAACCGTTACTTCTCTGACTCGTATGTAAGAACGCGCAATTTTTAGGTGGTAATTTGGTACGACTTAGTAAACTAACACACTGGCATAATTTTTCGGTTGATTGCATTAGTAATTTCAACGGCGGTTTCTTGGTTGCAGGTATCAACATAACAGCAATTATGTAATCTGGCCCGCCAGATGTATACTGTTATATCGGCGCTTGCGCGGAGAAAAATACCCATTATTCACTTGTGTGCGTGCATATCTACTGAACAAGTCATTTTAAATCATCTGTACATGTCAGCCAGTAGTGAGTGTGAGAACCGACTATCAAAGGAAAAACGTTATCGCAGCAACAGCTGACAATCTGTGGCTGCTCCTCCAATCAATTTGAGATTTTTGAGAGTAAAATGCGGATGCTTCCAAAAGCTTTGCGCTCTTGCTAATATCCGCCCATCACTCGGTGCCCGGAAGCCGGTCGTCACTGTCGAATCAAGGCGCAATTGTTATTTCGAAAGATATCACACCAAACTTGACTGTGAAACTTGTAAACATGAAGTCGAACGGCGATTTTTTTTAATAAATAGTCGATTTACAACTCTACAAGCACGTTTTATGGTTAGTGTGCTCGGTTCTAAATTGGAAGGTGGCGAGTTCGAATCCCATCAGAAGGTATTTTATTTTTTTCGCACTTTTTGCTTTTTTTACTTTTCATTGTGATTGTGCGCTATTTTACTTATATATATTTTTTTATTTATGCAGAATGCGCATCCCCGTTTTAACTCTGTGAAGCCATTTTGCACAGAGTACTGGGACGCTGGAGCAGCAGCGCCATACTGGGCTCATAATCAGGCATGACGCTGGGCGCTGGTACCCAGTGGCACTGGTTTTTGCAATGGGGATCGCTACGTAATAATATTGTTACGGAAAAGCCGCCGTATCGACGAGGCTGTGGATGAAATATATTTCAAACCAGCAGCAGCATCGGCGTGACCGGTATACCAGACACCGAGCAAAGACCACTCTTCGTCTTCTTCATCAGGCACACACGCGCTTCGTCCCACAAAATCTCAACATGCATGTAGCATAACCCCCGGCGGCAGAAGCGTCGTCTCGGCGCATCTAGATGTCAACGTCAGCGGGAGAGTGGTAAGGCTTCAAGCGTGCCACACGTACGATATCGGTGGTCTGTGGGGCAGATGAAGGCGATGAGGCAGCAGGGGCAATTCCGTATGTCACAGGAGTAACCACACGAAGGACTCGATATGGATTTGTGTAGCAGGAAAGAAGTTTTTCTGACAAGCCAACTTGAAGGGTCGGGGACCACAGCAGCAAACATGAACCGGGTAAGAAGTGCACGTCACGGTGCCATTGTCGTACAAATGCCGCTGGTTCTCTTGAGAGGCCAGAAAGCGAGTGCGGGCGATGTCGCGTGTGTGAGCAGCCCGAGTGATAGCGTTAAGGGAATATTCGCTGGTCGGTGCCGCGGTAGACCGGTAGACCAGACACCGAGCGGAGACCACTCTTCGTCTTCTTCATCAGGCACACACGCGCATCGTCCCACAAAATGTGAAAACATGAATGTAGCAATATATATATATATATATATATATATATATATATATATATATATATATATATATATATATATATATATATATATATATATATATATATATATATATATATATATATATATATATATATATATATATATTTATATATATATATATATATATATATATATATATATATATATATATATATATATATATATATATATTCAGAGCGA